GACGTTTACTACGCCAACACAGTTTCACAGCAGCTTGTGAAATGTTCACAGCTTCTAATCGTATTCATGGACATTAACCTCCCCTCCTTATTTTCACGTCCCTGAATACATTTATACATGTCAAGCCTTATATGTACAGATTCCTATGGATGCTTGTTTCCACTAAAGAACAAAATGTCTGTCTGCCTAAGAACTTCAGTTCAAGACAAACAAAATCTGATCTGCTGCTAAGCTGTCAATCATCTAGACCAATTTAGAACCACCAGTTAGAGTGGTAGACATAGTCTTTGGACTATGGAAATAAGCCAGAGAATCAGGACAAAACACACAACAAACTTAACACAGAAAACTAACCAGGCCATTTAAACCTCTTGCTACAAAGTGACAGTGCTAACCACTTCTGCATCAAACTATCAGAAAGCTCTTCCTCAGTGACCTCATTAAACACTTTCCTGAAGACTTCATAGGCTCAGGTGTTAATTTCACCCACATTGATTAAACTTTTGCTTTTTAATATTATACTCTCCCAGTTTTGGTCAATATTGAGCCCAAAATAGGGGGAAAAACCCCACCATAATTTAAAAAACACACATTAAAAAGCCAAGGCAGAAAGCAGAACTATTAATAGAAACACCTCTGGAGTGCTCCATTATTAAGAGGCCTCCTTACAAAGGGACTCATTCAAAGCCATTCACACCATAACAGCCACTTACTGCTACACAATGTCATAATGGACTGGAAAGAGCTTAAATGGGAGGACTGGGAATAAAGGGACCGCGGTGCTTGTTATTAATAATTCATTATAGCAGGTAGAAGGCAAACATGGATAAACAAGCTGAGAAGAGAAGGAGGAGAGTGACGATGAATTCCTTCACGTTTCCATGCAAAATGCAAATCCACAGCACAGCTTCCATCTTAATCACGGAGACTCGCCTTACCTCAGGAAATGCTTCATCTCGGCCGCTGTTACCCCTCAGGTGTCTCCGGTGCTGGTGCAGTTGAGTGATCACCTGGAAACGGAGGAGATGATGAGTGTTTGAGGCTTGCGGACACGGAGCCGCCAGACAGGCCCGAGCTCCGGAGCTGTCCGCGGTGCTGAGGAATTAACGCGCATGCAAATCTGCGGCTCTCCGCCGCAACAGCGCTTGATTCCTGCGAGCCGCAGAGCTTCTGTTTGGGTTAAATTTGGCGCTGTAAAAACCACAGCCACCCACAGAAGCTCTTCTGGAGGATTGAGGGCGGTTATTTAATGTTTTCAGAGCAGAAAAAGGCAGATAAATTCAATTTTCATTCCTCGTTCGTCTCCGGTGTGATTAGCAAACCAAGGCGCAAACACTGAGTAATCTGTAGCTGAAGACGCTACAGGAAATCAAACAGCGGCTGTAAAAGGTTTACCTGTAATATAACCGGTAAAACCAAAAGAAAAAGACCCTTTTCTTACCGATTTGGGATAATAAGGAGGCAAAACGGAAGGCGGGAGGCGGCAGGGTGCAGCGGTTTTGTCCTCTTCTCTGGGCTACAGTCGCCTGCTTTCCTCCATGTTGACTGACACTCAGTCTAAAAGCTACAGCAACAGCAACGCAGTGCAGATTAACAGCACTCATAAAGTCCCAGGAACATTTTCTACCAGTATCATGTATTGATAAAACTGGACACGTTCTTGTTTTTGTACCTTAAAAAGTGTAGTTGCACGTTTCCATCTCCTTGTTTTCATTGTTCAACTCTCAACCAAAACAGCTTTGCAGGATTTATAGTTTAAAATCATCCTTATTTGGTTTATACTTGCCCTTAGGGCCTCAGTTTGTCCCTTAGAACAAACCAGTTTAGCTCCTTTCCTTTCTTCTTTATACGCTTTCTTCTGATTGGCTGCCCCTCAAAAACAGACGGTTTGAATAGCAGGTGGGTGGGGCTTCTGGACCTGAGATAGCCATATTAGAAATAGCTCCCTAATGCCATATAGATCCAAAAGTAGACAAAGAATAAACTGAAGCCTTACGTTTTGGTTCACAGAATTTTGGTTCTTCCAAATAATGATATTTGAAATAATATTATTTGAATCACTATGAACACCAATAAATGTTCTAATATAGATATTAAAGGGAACGTGTAATAGGACCACTTTAATATCTTGTAGTGTAGAGATTCATTAACCTTCTGTGGTCTGAGTCATCATTGGTCATTATCCTATGTTTTGGATAAAAGCAAAAAAGGCTTTTTTTAAAGACTTGTATGAACAATAAAAAAAAATACATATTAGGATAACATAGGGTTAGGGTTATTGCCAATGGTGGCTTCACAGGATTCATTTCATCTCTAAGCTGCATGATCCTGTGATGATTCAGCTTGGCATTTGCCATGAGTTTGCCTTTCCCACTGATCCACTGCCAGACCAATCACACTGGATGAAACTGCATGCAGCATGATGTTCACCACGGTGTTTCCAGACTCTTCTGTCTGCCACATGTGCTCAGTGTGAACCTGCTCTCATCGGTGAAGGGAATGGGACATCGGTGGTGGACCTGAAGGTTCTGGTGCTCTCTGGATAATGCCAGTCAAGCTCTTCAGTGGTGGGCTATGAACACTAAGTCCAACTAATGATGTCAGGCCATCATTTCACCCTAATAGAGTGACAATCTGATCAGATACATACACATGAGCATATCACTGGAAGTCATTTTGTAGGGCTCCAGCAGTGCTACCCTTCTTCCTCCTTGCACAAAGCAGCAGATTGATTGATAGTTGATGTCCTTCTGCAGCCCTTTTGTCTCCTTGTGTGACAGCCTATCTCCTGCTGCAGGTACCATCTCATGCTATAACCAGTGATGAGCAAAACAGGAAAAAGCTAAATTATAGATAAACAAGTTTTTTTAATTATGTACTTTTTTCTAATAAATTAATTAACAATAACATCTCAATACATTTGCTGTTTTTATTCAAATAGAATACATACACACCAAAATATTTTTGATTGTTTGCTGTGCTCTGTATCTTTACATCTGTATTTGTCTTGGACTGAGAACCACCACAGTACAATATCATTTGGGTTTCGTATTGCTAAGTCTTCTTTACGTCCTGTAAGTTGTGAGGTGGGGCTTCCATGGGTTGGACTTCTATCCCTTATTGGATTTTGATCTGGGGAATTTGGAGGCCAAGTCAACAC